TTATTTTTATTTTTTTTTGGTCATAGTGCAAATATGTCCCCGATGGTTGCATCCAAACTGTTCCTGTGGGAGCCATCTGCGTTGGCAATTCTTTGCTTTCTCTCTTCCTGGGCCATATCCTTGGGCAGGAAACGAGGGGAGTGGGATCAGCCATATGACCCCAGCTCCTTCTCTATCTTCCCCAGCACTTTCTAGTCCTTTGCCACGTCTTATCTGCCTGGCTATGTCGTTTGTATGCATGGGGACCCATACGGAGGGACCATTGAAAGAGTCTTGGGTATCACATACCAAACATGCACAGCCCCCCCCCCCCAAGGCAGTCAGCATCCTTGACAGATGGCTGCTTCGGTGCCTCTCTGCGGGGAGTCTTCGATCATTCACCCATTGCTGCTTCCTCATCAAAGCAGAGGGAAAACCCCCATTCCTTTTGCAGAGCTGATAAAGCTCTTTTTCTTAGTCCTGGAGCCCTGGGGTCCTGGTATGCAGAAACATCGAAAGTGCAGAGCCTCTGCACCCCCTCTGAGGCTTCAAAGTGAAGGAACTTAAGAAAAGTCCTTTGCATCCTGTTCCTCCTTCTCTCCAGCCCCTCTTCCAGGGTCTCTTCTGGTGGGTTTCTTGCTAACGTTGACATCTGCAAGCACATCCTGGGCCTGATCTAAGAAGTCCTGGTAATATGGAGGGTGGGCAGGGTGCCCTCCAGCCCCCTCTCTACCAAGGGGGCAAACAGCCTAGACTTGCAAGCATGGATGGTTATGACAGAGTGGGGGCTGCGAGAGAAGGGAGACCAGGATGTGGTTTGGTACCTGCAATGCTGAAGGAAAAGCTCCTGATAGCGTGCAGAGCTTTGCTCTGATGTTTTCCCTGGGAAGCTGGGCTGTAGCCACCCAGTCCCAAAACTTGACATTTGGATCCTTCCAGTCGTTCAGGGAGTTTCACAGTGACTACTTGAGCGCCTAATGCAAAATGTTTCCTTGATTCCCTGCCCGAAAGGCTGCATGCTCAATCTGAGGCAGAGGTGACTGTGCGTACAGTTGGATACATAAACCTGTAAATCACCCTTCTGGTGTTGGAATTCCATCATGGGCTGGAGAATAGGGGACTTGGAGGCCAGCACACCTGGTGAAGGTTGGGGCAGGTTGCTAAGAAGGCGAAACAAAAGCGTTTACCTGGTTCAAAATACTTTTGCTTGAAGAAGAAAGCGCTGCTGACTTCAGAAAGCAAATTTACATCCAGGCAGCAATGGGAATTGAATTCACCCTCAAATACAGGTAACCTTAAAGATGTGGTTTTACGCTGCAAAATAGTTTCCTTTTATTCTAAGGCAGGAAGGATGAAAAATGGACTGTTCAGGCAGAGAATAAAACAAGACATTCTCCTCCATTTTTTCCTATCAATTCTCATTCAGTTTGAGGAACAAGAACATAGAGTGGAGAATAACATTTTGGATAAATTATAAATACATTTAGATAAATAAAGGGATGCGTGAGAAAATCCTGTACTTTCTTGGCTCTTCTTGCGTGGACTTGGAAGCTAAGCAGGGTCAGGCTTGGACAGTACTTGGATGGGAGACCACCAGGGCAGAATGCTGGATAGAAAAGTAAAACACTAACCAGATCAGCAGTGGCAAACCCCTTCCATATTAGTGTCGAGAAATTAATAGTAAGAAAACCAAGAGTTGAGCTGGTACAAAAAGAGACTTTGAAAATCATATGGCCATCTCCCGGAAGTCACCAGGAATTGGGCTGGACTGGTTGGAAGTTCTGCTTTTGGGGTACAGTTCGGTGGCTGCAACGCTGGGTGATCTTGAAAACCAAAGCAGGGTCGGACCTGGTTAGAACTTGGATAGGAGACCACCAGGATATCCAAGAACTGTCAGCTAGACTGGGAAGTAAAAAAAAAAAAAAACATCCAAAAGAGAATTGAGTGGAAAATTTCAAAAGGGTATTTGGTTCCCTGTGGAACCATTATAGAATATAATGCTGAATGGTTTTCATTTCATTTCAAAGGGATTTGCTCAGGAAAATTTCCTGCTGGGTTTTAGTTCCCACTCATTAATTAGTGAGACAGTACTTCTCTGTGCGTGTCCCACCCAAATGTGCAAAGATGTGACTTCAGGACACGTGCACGTGGCTTTTTTGACAACCCATGGACGTGGTTTGTTCCTGTCTTCATTTGGGAGGCGTTTCGGACCCTGTTTAACTTGTCAAAAGCAGCCAACAGTGGCTGGTTGAGTTAGTCTTTGTCCACCTTCCCCAGATGATTCCTTCCAGAGGTGTCAGACCAATTCCCAGAATTCCTAGTCAGCCTGATGAAATTCTGGGTGGAACCATTCCAAATCTAGGGGAGTCTCATCTTTTAAACCAGTGCTTTTCAAACTTGGCAACTTTAAGATGCGCAGACTTCCACTCCCAGAATTCCCCAGCCAGCATTACCTGTAGCGCATTTCCTCGCAGCGCTACCTGTACTCATCACTGTACCCTCATCGACTTCATTTTTCCAGAAAGATCCCCTTTTGACAGATTAAGAGCTGGCCAAAGCTGTGATAAGCTTTTGAATCTGGAAGCCAGGGCTAAAATTTGCAATGCTCTTTCCTTTAAAATGCCCATCACAGTAGGTGGCAGAATGCACCAAATCCTTTCCTGATTTTGAAAAAGCAGAGATAATCCTGATTAGGATGGGGAAATCTCAGGGTGGGATTTCTGGACTAAGAAATCAATAGGCTGGGGAAAACCAAACCCAGTTATTTGTTCCCCCCGTTCTTCAGATCTCTGTCCTCTCAGTCTCCAGATGCACTCTGGCCATTGGTTGAAGAGACAAATGCCTGGTCATTGGCTGTTTCCACATACCGGATTTCGATGATCTGTTTAAAAAGCGACAATGTCTGGTTCATACCAATACTGGCCCATGCTATAAATCATAGCTTATAAATCTTGATGGATGGGTTGACCCCACACCCAAAGCTGAAACCACCTTTCTACCTTCTGAGCTAGTGCAGATTGTGGCGATCAAAACCTGCGTATTCCCAATTCATTTAAACAAGAGAAGGAAAATAAATACATGGAAAACACTCCCACATACATATTTAATTAACTTTAGGGCGTCTAGTCATTTGCAAAAAAAAAAAAAAATCTGAGTGGTGGCCACGAGGAGAACTTTCGGGCTGCAAAGCTGCCTTGCCATTTAAAGATCCTCTGGCACGCTGTGAAGGTGAAAGGATAACACGAGAGCCTTGATGAAACTAGACACTCATTGCAATGCCTACAGCCATGGTTGCATTCAAAACAATGCCTATACCCAGGTAGTAGGTAGAAGATGTTGCTCAGAGCCAGGAGGTCAGGGGAGGCGCAAGTTCCCATCCAAAGAACAACCGCTGCGCACAAGCTCTGAACAGCTGCATCGTTGTAGAAGAAAAGATCAGCTTGGCTCGGGTTTCGGATAAAGCGGGGTGGAGCCAGAATAAAGACGACTCACTCTCAACTAGCAGGAACTGTCATGGGAATGCAGAGATGAGCAAGCTTTGCAAGTGGGTGCAAACCAACCGTGTGGAAGTGCTTTGAGTTAGGGTAGATAATCTTTCTGGGCTGGGGGATATTGCAAGGAGGTGGTGGGTGCACTCACAAGATGATTGTAATGAGAGACTTGCCTGTTATAGACGGTATTATAGTGCACTCCCAAGGCATTGATTTACAAGAAAACAGTGTAGATCAGGGTTTCTCAACCTTGGCGACTTTAAGACGTGCGGACTTCAACTCCCAGAATTCCCCAGCC